CCCTTGTGTTCATTTTTACACTTTGAATAATTAACCCGGGACATAACTCTGAAACTATAAGAGATATCATCAGGAAACCTTATAGATAGATAGATCTCATTGAAAAGAAGTGCAGTGCAAAAAAAACTAATTTTGGAGTTTTTGCCCTTTTTCATTTTTTTTTATACATTCCTGTGTCCAGAACCTTCTCGGGAAGCATCACCCGGTTCTACCGGTTCTTGTTTTTGTAGAAGCCATTGACGTTTCTCACATACGATATTCCCTAGTTCAAGTAAATAGTATACCTTGTATCTCTGAAAACAAGAAACACAAATAAACATAGACTATAAATTTAAAAGATAAATATTTCTTTCAGTCGGCAGAATTCAAAATGAAACTACGAAACAAAATTAGAAGAACAACAAGATTCTAATGTTGAAGGTATCCCAGCTTGTACAAGCAGTCTCAGACAAGGAATGGTGTCAAATTATTGGTAAAATATAACGTCATTTCAAAATGCAATAAATGATTTAACCTCAAAGTTCAAATCACCTTTATCTCAATTTTAGGCACTTATAATTTCAAAGCAGCTTTTTATCATATCAATATTTGGAAAAAGAAATCCATTGAAAGCAATAATATACGCAAAATTACTGATGATGAAAAGATGCAACATGCCTCTTGCCCCTAGCACCGGCTTGAGTGGTATTCAATTTTCAACATATTCAACAAAAAATCTATATCATCATAATTTTGTTTTGTAGTAATAACTGTCATGTACACGAGTGGTCTTAGATATACTGTCTAATGTCAAATGAGACACTAGCACAAAAACTCGCCTTATGGTTGATAAAATACGCAACGTCACTATCAACACTTTGAGTATTTTTTTCATTATGTCACAGGTGGCTGTCTTCTTTCCTATCAAGATCGTCTTATCTCCTTCGCGTGACAAGAATACAGCAGGTGATGACACGTGAGGAACTAGACAAGCAATTCGAGGGACTCCGTAAACACATGGAAGATCTACAGGTGATTAGTATGATACCGCGTGATATAAACTTTGTTGTATGATCAGATTATATATTTATATTAGAACATGAAGTAACATCAATACTGTTTTCTCAGGACCCAAATTCCTCATGCATTGGTAAATGAATGAGAAACAATATATCGATTTCTGAAGTCAATGTTTCATTTTGCGAAAATGAACAATACAATTATTACAAAAACAAATAACATTATACAGTACTAGAACATTGACGAAATTCTTATGTCAAGACAGCAAATTCATACAAGGCTTTTCCAATTTACTTTTTAAAAGCCCAAAATTACTTGCCTCCTACAATCATTGTTAAAAAATTTAAAACAAAAATATCGGAGCATATGCATTTTAGAATGAATTTATTGTGTATAAAATTATATATTGTTATATTATTTTAAGAAATACATTAAACAATTTCCTATTTGTAAGAAAGAATACTGGCGATAGTATCGAACGACTTGAATCAAAGTAGCGAATAGAAATAAAAAGAATAACATCAATATTAAAACGGGTACGCACAACCCGAAACTTTTAGACAGGCTAAAATGAAACTACTTAATCTGTTAATGTCTGTAGTTAAGACGCGTCACAACATCAGTAATGTTAGTAATATTTTAACTAAAAGAGTCCAGTTACCTCTATTGTAAATTAAGCTTGCAACTGATTCGATCCAGTCTCGAGTCTGGTTTCTGGATGTATAAGTATCATATATTGAATTTCGGTTGCTTAATTACATATGGTGGCTGATTTGTTACATTTTATTTTTGCGCGTCGCATTGTCTCAAATAGAAGAATTGGTGAATTGCCGCTCTGGTGCTCGCGACAACGGGCGATGCTAAATGACTTTAGGAAGCTTACCCTTCGATTTAAGCCAAGCGACATGGCGACAACGTGCCGCACAATAATGTGCGTTTGGCAGCGACAAGACAAGACGAAAAGGCGATAACGGTATTTGCTGTGTGGTCTAAAGCAACAACGCAACGCACAAAGGTATAACAAATCAACCACCATAATGCCATGTTGTTGGAAAGCATTCATCGTAACCACAATGACTGCTCCACTTTAGTTACCAATAAGCTACACTTATAAGTTTAAAATTTGAGTCGAGTATTATGAAGTTAAAAAAAATACGTTAAGTTAAAAATAAGAATGAGTAGAATTTCGTTGTCATAGAAATAAACCTGTCTTAATTGGTTTGACCTTGATGGTGGGAAATACCAACAAATAAATGTTGCTGTCCTTTCATCTGAGATGCGCTATAAAATAAGAACCTTTTTAAACCGGCCATTTAACAAGACAAATTTGTGAAACATATATAGTTGGTGTCGTGCATTTATGACGTTTTCAAGTCCATTGATGTCAGCCGAAATGAAAATATATGTAATTAAATGTTTTTTTTAGTGAAACATCAACTGTTCATTTTTTAAATATTCGAAAATGAAAAGTAATTTTCCTTTGAAATTTGACTTGTGTAGAATCTGGTAATGGGGAAGACACAAGAATGCCCCAAGCGAGAAAAAATGGGAAGAGCATTGCCGATCCCGGCTGAGCTGTAAAGAATCAGACAGGAAAATATCAGTGAGCTTGGGTGGCTGGCAAAGACAAAGAACAGGCAATTCCCCGTGTCCTTGACAACGAAATCATTTGGATTTTCAAGCCCAAAGGCTCGGGTTAATGGTTGAACCAAGTGAAGGAAACTTAAAAGGTAAACCAAACCAAAAGAATTACTTCTAAAGCCCACAAAAATCATATTGAACACTTTGTGGAGGCTCTTGCGTTAATATGGAAAACGCAAGACAATCAAAATAATTTAAGTGAAAATTTTCTTTGAAACAATTACTTAAGAAACAAACAATAATGACAGACAGGATTACACTAATAAACATGATAATTCTATTTAAAGATGTCTATGTATGCTTAGTTTGGGCATTGTAAACATAATTGAGGTTTTTGGGGAACCACATTTAAGGCCCATTTATTTCTGAGGGTTATATAATAATAATATCCATCTTTTACAGACTATTTGGTCAGAGGCAATATGTGTAAGACGATGCGTATAAATTCTGTAAAAGCCTTGTTTGCAAAGAAGAAGAAAAAGGTAGAGAAAACATATTCAACGCTAGGTGGCGCTGTCAGTTGCATTGGCATGCTAGACACCGATGAGAGAAATGTCAAAAGAATATTCAAGTAAGCAAAATCCTGTAAAGAAAAGTGTATGCTTTTTCTGTATGCTGTTTGAAAAACATTGATTATTGAAGCCTGTATTACACAGTCAAGCAAACAAATTTTTGGACAAAACGCACAGCAAAAATCTATTATAATAAAAATGACCTATTCAGTTAGGTTTTTGTATTTCTTCTGACTCTTCACTGATTGTCAACATTTAGGACATTTTTACCGACATATCAGCTAGAAAAATGTTATAGATAACCAGAGATACTTTACACAACGTCCCTTTTTGTACGTTGTAAGTCAAACTGATTATTTTTAAAGCTTATTTGATGACTTTTAAGCTTTATCGGGAGAACCACCGACTTTATGTAAGCTAGCTAGATAACTTCTTCATATGCAAGAATCCATCACAGGCCGGATTCAAAGGACACGCGGTTAAAAGTCAAAGACCTTAACTAACTGCTCATGAACAGAACTTCACAAATGACGAATTGATTGAGCCGATGAAAATACTTTGTATAAAGTAGCTTACTTGAAGAAATTTCACTCAATATATTAAAAGTTTAAAACGAAATTAACCATTGGCTATTTGATGCATGGCTACTTGTGGTACTTTGCAATTTTAGGCATGTACGATGTACAATTGTCACATGACACTTTATTTAAAGACATTCCGTTCAAAATTATAGTTAAAACGAGATTTACAAATTTCCTGTCGTAAATTTTTCGTTTTGCACGTTGTACAATAGTCATATGAGGTACACATCATGATATCTTACTCGTTACATATAGTTATTCTTAATTATTAGCGAACTTGGAGAAATATTGAAACAACCCAATACGTGTCATTTACACAATTAAATAAACATCTGACTCGTTTGTAACAGAGATTTTAATGACACAACGAAGGCAAAGAAGATGTCAGAGGCGACTATACTGTACATAGAAACAATACTGTCACATAAAGAATTTGGCGGGAAGCTGAGAAAATTCTTTGACCGTTATTTTAAAGACATTGATGAAGCTGCGAAAAGAATTCCTGGATTTCTTAAGGTTAGTGGAGAAAATCAAAAACTGAGGTTATTTAAAGATGAGCATAATATAGTTTTAATCTAAATTATCAACAACTCAATATCATAAGATTTATAGTATAATAGTGGTTCAGTGGTATGAGAACCGTGCTTTAAGATATATTTTATTATAGAGTTGATACCTTTCTATTGAAAATGAGCATGCTCGCCGACTTGCTCAATTTATTTCCTTCTAATTGTGGCGACAGGGAAAAGAATAACTGTAGAAACATATTCAGATGCTCGTCCATTGGTTACTTTTGTCAGTTACTTTTTACTGGGGTTTCATATTGCGACGACAGGGGACATGTTTTTATTTTTGCCTATGATACAAAAGAGAAAGAACCTCAAAACACTCGGTAATCTGATTAATACACGGGGGCTATTCCTCCTCGTACTTAATACTCGGGGCTATTTCCCTCGTACAAATCTTTCCATAACTAGCACATGTCAAATGATATTAGAGACAGGCTAATTTGCAGATATAATTACAGTTATTTTTCTGTATAATTTTTATGCCATTCTTCTATTTAAATACGTTTGTAAGTTATAGTAGTTTCGTCCGCTTAGCTCAATAAGGAGAGCGTCACATTAGTAAACGATTTAGCTTATTTGATCCTCGGGCGATATATCACGGGTATTAGGCCTGATGATAATTTGTTTCGCACCGCTGTTTCTGAAATCATATGTCAGTCACGTGCGCAGAAATTGGTAACAATTGGTAAGTTATCCAGGAAAAAATGGTCAGGTGGATCGACCATTAAGATATGACCAATTAATGTGAAACACAAATCAAACCAAAAACAATAAAAATCAATGTAAAAACACCCAGAAAACAGCAAATAAATCAGTAAACTAAGGTGGCATTTTTTTCTGCCAACAATTAAACAGTTATTTACGGTAGTTCACCCCTACTAACTTGTTAGTTTTCGTTGAATCAATCAAGTCAAAGTTTCTTTGTTACACATAACACGAATAAATGTGGTTAATGTAGTATTAGTAGAGACTCTTTTAACATATTCTTTGTATATACAGTTATATTGTAAATAATAAATCATAAAGGTATTTGTTCTCGTCATTTGCTAATGCACAAACCACAGTTCAACGTATGATATTATAAAATACAAAAAAAATGATAAAATTTTGACAAATTAGCAATCGTGTTAACAGAATTATAAAATACATGTATATTTATTTGATTAACTCTATAGTTACGTGACAAATAAGTATCCAACTTCAAGAACAAAAAATAGAGATGGTTAAGGGATTTGCCTACAATTGCAAATACTTACAAATAACAAATATTCTTCTGTTTATCTATAAAACTTTCATTTATTTATCTTGCATACATTTTTAATTTTCAATTGCATTAACATATTTGATTAAAAATACACATTTCTGTAATAACGTAATCTATGAAAGTAAATAATAATCGTACAATGTTTTCTTATTATAGGCTGATCAGCAGCTCATAGAAACATTACAGACAAATATTAATGAAGATGATCGTCTGAAAGCTCAACTCCCTGGACTAGTGAATGAAAGTGCCGATTTTCCAACCTCATTTTCTAAATAAAACACTCCGAAATTTACTTTTAAATCAAAAGGTTAAAGGAAAGTAAAAAACTTGGGAAAAATTTTGAAAGGACGATAAAATACCAAAAAAAAGACCAGTTCAAAAAAGTAGGCAAACTTATTTTTTAAATTGTAGAATAGTAAACAAAAAAAACCATAGAAAACTTTCCAACCACAGCCCTGATTAACAAACCCCGTGGGCCCCCCTCAAAGGGATCTGCTAGAAACGAAAAAAGGCACAGAAGGCGGGCCCCGGGCGAGACCCACGGATAAAATACTTTTTTGTTAAAAGATGAGACTTTTTAATTTTTTATTGATGACTCCCAAACTTCTCGTCGATGAATATTCAAAATTCTTTTTTCACCATTCAATTTTCACTTATCATTGGGGTACACTATTAAAAGAAAAATAAAAATTTTATAGACTATCGAGAAATAAAAAACTGATTTTGAATGATTTGTTTTAGGTTGCCACTGACGTAGTCGACCAGTCCAATGTCACACAAATCCTGACCGACGATAAAATCATGAGGTGAAATAATTTTCTATTACATTAAATAACGTCCTGTGATTGTTAAATGTTATCAAAATGTGACAGTTTTTGTCCACATATCAAAAACTTTTAACCTGAAACTTGTAACGAATGTGATGTGAGATATAATAAAAACTGTTTTATGTTTCATATACGCACGTATATCTAACATCGGAACAAAAGTAGTCCAAGATCAACACATTTAATATACCACAATGACATAATTTTAACTACAAGTATCCTCCTTTGTTATGTATTTTAATCAGACGTATACAGTTAAGAAAAAATAATTATTTTAATAACTTCAGGGATTTGAAACATGCTAACATCGTTCGGTACTACGGTGCGTCCTATATTAAAACAAAGAAGGGTTTACAGTGGATAATGGTGATGGAGCTGTGTCAGGCAACCCTTAAACAAATCTATACTGGTAATTTTGTTTTATTAATAGTGTCAGCAATGAATTGGTTAACACAAGACTTATCTGTAGAAATTCAGTATAAACACTCTTATCAGTGTAAATTTGAAAGAAAGAGACTGCCAACAATTGTTAAGGCAAATACCGTACTATTCTTTTAAGTACAAATTGGAGTTATGATACATTCTTGTGTATATTGGGTGAGTACAAAGCTATTAAAGCTGTATTAGACAAGGCGCTAGTCGAGGGTGACAAATGTTTTGCAGCTCTGTACGAGACCAATATGATCAGTATTGCTCTCAATAATGTTTAATGACCTCTTTTTATTTCTCATTTTTGATGTTAAAATGCAAACGAGGTAATATAGGATATGATATGTATTTGATATGGATGTATTGTTCTCTGGTTATGGAAATGTTGCTATAGAGGATATAATAAGCATTTGGTATAGATTCGGTAACTGAAAACGAGGCTAAATTGTTAAGAATGGACAATCATTAGCTCTATTCGAATATGACATGGTTTAAAGACTTAAATTTCATTGATTATAATTTATAAGGTGTGAAGTTATGATTTTGTGTTATTTACAAATGTTCATTCATTTTAATATTTATCAAATTATCATATAAAACATGTATGTACATAATGGAGAATAAATTAATTTATTTCAGGAAGCGAAAGAAATGAGCGCATGATTCCTGGTTGCCTAGGCAGTGACCACCCACGATTTGCTGAGGCAGCCAAGCATATGCTTGACCACGCCTACCAGATTTGTACTGGCCTGGATTTCATACATGGGAAAGGATACACCCACAGAGATATGAAACTAGAAAACGTTCTGGTAAATACATACTGTTTTGTTTGACCAACGGTTTAGTTTGAATCATTGGACTTGCCAGAAGTTTGATCGCATCGTCTTAATGAACTATATCTTTAATAGTTTTAAACTCAAACAGCAAGTTTTCGATTTATCTGCATGACTATTTTAATATTAATATAAGTTTGATATGTGTCATCCCGATACTCAAATAACAAATACCTTTTAGAAAATAACGAATGCACATGCTTCAAAAAGTTAAATACTATTAAACTATTTCAATTGATTCTATAGTGAGATGTCAATTATTATATTGGAAAATTAAATACGAACGTTTCCATATGTTTCATATAATCTTGAAAATAATTTTACAGTTGGCAGAGGGAAATGTTATTAAGATTACAGATGTAGGCGTCACCAAGGTAACAAAGATTGGTAAAGTTGCATATGGTTTCCCGGCTTATATGGCACCCGAAGTGCTGCTTTCGAATGAGATCCAAACAAACAAGATTGACATTTACAGTTTTTCTCTCATATTCTGGGAAATGTGGTTTGGGAAGGATGTAGAGGACGAAAAAAACAAAGGTTTACTCGGGTATGGTTACCATGGAAATGCAATGGAAGTACTCAAATCTCATATTGCAAGGACAGATGGATGGCGGCCACCACTGAGTTCACCAAAACGTCCGCCAGAAATGATTACTGATGTATTAAAAAGAGGATGGGCTTCCGATCCTGAAAAGAGGCCAAGTGCAAATGAGTTTGGAAAAACTTTGAAACAGTTTCTGAAGAACAACCTCTAACAAAGCATATAAATTATACAAAAAGCATAAGTGAACCGCTGCAAAAGACTTACATGATACATACATGAATAGAACTACTGTCATGAGAGGCTATAAAGGTTTTAATTTAATTCCGAAACAAGCGAAAAAAATCACTATTTTGCATTGTTTTTTCCATCAAAACTGATTTCAAAGTGCTGCAACTTCTAAATGCATTGAAATAGACTAAAAGGCTTTTCAGTGTTGGCTACACATGATATTAAGATCGTCCTGAGACTATTTTAGCCTGTCACATGTCCAAGATTTTCTTGGTGATGAGGGGGACTACCACCCCCCTTCACCCCCCCAAACAGTATGGGGCACACTCCCCTTCTGGCAACCCCCTTATGAATCATTTTGATGTGGGCCGCGCCGAAAAAGTCATCACTTTTTTAACAACATTTACAAACGAAAAACAGTGTTTGGGGCCTAAATAGGGCATTTTTCCCTGTTTGAGGCCTCAAGGGGGGGGGGGCAAAAGCCGTCAAAACACGTGTATGCGAGGGATAAAGATTAAATATTGCAAAATAGTTAAAGGAGGGCAGTATATCTTAAATAATATGATATATTTTTGTTGTCATATAAATGTATAGTGAATTGCATTTTTTTTATAAAATATAATTTCTTCTTCTGGTTATTTAAAATATTCTTATTGCAAAATAACAAATGATTTTTTAAATCTGTTTTGGGGCCAAACTAACCAATTTTGGAGCCGGATTGACCAACCAGAAATACTAAGGGACAGAATTGACCGCTTTAGGGGCCGCATCATTTTTGTATTTTCTGATCGTAAGATCAGTAAATACATAGCTAACATCCACGGTCTAACACAAAATTTCCTCACAGTCCTAACAACGCAAAGTAGTTCTCACTCAAAACTGCTTAAAAACCAGCAATTTAAAAGAAAGAATAATTTTTAATGAAGGCATTTAACGAATTACAGCGCATTAAAAGTTTAGATTAGTCAACAGAAAAATGAGGTTATAATCACAAATTTCGCAGATGAATATCTTTTTACCCAATGAAAAATGTTCGGCTATTTCCGTAAAGCTTCGGATTATCATGAATATCATTTTAATCAATGAAAATGCTATGTTTAGCTATGTCGATTACCGAATACTCCAGAGCGTAGTACGCAAATAAATCTGACTGTCGAGTAGTGGAATATATACATGTCGGACTGTTTTGGCGAGAAGATTTTCGCTAAATTATTTTCATCAGTGTTAAACAACAGGTTTATCGTGAACAAAATACCTCGAAATTAATAAGGATTACAAACACGAAATGGAAATTCTCAATTTAGAATTACATAATGTATTCGTTTTTATTCAAGGTACATATGTATAACTTCGCCGTGGTGCAGAGGTAAGCGGTCTCGTTGAGGGTGTGAGAGGCCTATGGTTCAAATCCTAGTCGAGGCAATTCTATTTTTTTTCATGCAAAATTCCATATGTATCAATCTCAAACTGTTATAGAAGAAAATCAAAACGCTGTCGCTGCGTAAGATGAATTATAGTATATAAAATTAAACTTACAGGAAAGTATGATTTAGATTGCAAAAATCAGAAAATACCATAAAGCTGCAGCCCTTTGATTTGTCTTGCTGTTATTTAGTGCTTGTATTCACTTAAACGAAATTGCATACTTTATTACATTTTGAAACTCCAGCAAACACTGATTATAAGTAATAGTTATAGTACATGAAACGAGTTAGTTACGAGGATATAACACTGGCTGGGGCGACATCAAGGAGGGTTTCTGCAAAACAAAATGCCGAGGCCGTTAGGCTGAGACATTTTATTTTGCAGAAACATCCCGAGATGTCGCCCCAGCCAGTGTTATACCTCTGTAACAACTGAGTTTCATATACTTTAACTGTTTTATCGCAATGACATAATGTTTTCTTTTTTTGTTATAGAAGCAAATAAATCAATAAATAGATAATTAGCTACACTACAGTTATTTATGATAAGGCAGCTTTTTTCAAGATGTTTTCGCTGCCGCAAAAAAAATTATATATAAAAGACATCCAATGTTAGAGGCGGATTGTAAACTGTTACCAATATTGATTCAAGATTAAATTGCTTTTCTTTTCAGTGGAAATAATTCATTCAGCGGATACAATTCGTTCAGCGGATGTACCTGTTGATTAAATGAGAGTAAATTTAATTTCATTAATTATCTTTGTTAATATTTTACATTGTATCTATATATTATTTTATTTTATTGATTCCATTTTTTTTTTTTTTTTTTTTTTGCTTCTGGGAATGGTCATTACCGGTCTTGAAGACTTTTCACTCCTTTTTAATATACCAAAATTATTTTGATACTTATGAATTTATGATATACTAAAATAGACCTAAAATATTGAATTGAATTGAACTTAAGTAGACCTTAAATTTAATAAAAATAAATTAAAAAGGGGATTTCACTTTTGAGTCAATGACTTAAATCCCAGTACTTTAAGTTCTATCATTTCAGTTATCTTATCTTCTTTATTTTTGTTTTGAAATAATACAAAACAAAATACAGTACATTATGTCACGTGATATTGTACACGGAGAACGTGGTTTAGAACGGTCCGATAAAATGTCAATTTTTACAACATTTCTAAAGGATTTAGTTAACGATATGTGGATATAAAGTAATCTCAGTATATGTGTGCTAATGTCCGATAAGAAAAAGAGTGAAAAAGTGAACTTTTGTCTGAAAAATCAAAAAATAAACGTGAAGCCATGTCACCTTTGTTAGAGGGCAATGAACCGGATTGCACGGACTACTCGTATGGTGATTTACACAAGTGTAGTGAGAAGTGTAGTGATAACAAAACGCAACGGACACATAAATATAGGAATAAAAAAAGCAAACACACTAGTGATAATACACAAACTGTAAGTAGTCACTTTATAGATTGGCCTATGGTTTTTTCCGGCGCTCCATTCGGAATGATTCAGCCGTCATATGCTACAAGCCCGCCGCCATCCATGGGGTTCGGGTTCCCAACGCCAGGCGCTGGATTCCCTTCAAATCCACCACAATGGGCGACTGAACTCATAAATGACGTAAAAATGGTAAAGGAAAAACCTCATTCTATCGATAAAATTGAGAAGTCAATTTCATCCATGAATATAAAAATGACAGACATAGAATCAAAAATGAAATCATTCGGTACTAGTATCACTGAAACTGAAAAATGCTGTGAATACTTGTCAAAGGACAATGATTCGATACATCGTGAATTAAAAGACACACGAAGTGACCTGAAAAATATAAAAAAGGATTTTAACTTTGTAGAATCACAATCCACTCAGATATGCGGGGTGCAGGAGAAACTTGAACAACAGGTTATAAATCTAGAAATGCAGTCACTGCATAAGAACCTTTTGTTTTATGGATTTCCCGAGGAACCAGACGAGAACTGTGGAAACCTAATAAAAGAGCTATGCAGAGATACGTTGAAATTGTCTGACGCTGAAACATTTGGGTTTGAGAAACCCCCATATCGTCTTGGAAAACGTTCGCCTGGAAAAACACGTCCTATTTTAGCACGTTTTATACACAATCATCAGCGAGAACGTGTAAGGTCCGCGTCTTTCGATCAAGCAGACGACTTGAGGGATGTAGCACGTGGGATCGGGATTCAACTACCTAGGGCAGTGCGTGATGCTAGAAGACCGCTGTATCCGAAAATGGAAGAGGCGAAAAAGGCCGGTAAATCTGTAAAATTCATCGGAACAAAATTATTCATTAATAATGTAGAATACAAACCGAGTAGTGATTACTAGAGATGTCATGAAGAGTTACCCTTAAATGTACTGTGTTGGAATGTCAACGGACTACTATGACATATTACTGATAATGATTTTATTTCGTTTATATCTAGTTATGATTTAGTGTTTCTAAATGAGACTTGGATTTCGAAAACTGACTTATATAGATATGATATTTCTGGATTTACTTGCATTAAACTTAGTGGAAATAAGGTAAAGAAAAGTAGCAGAGGTAGATACAGTGGCGGTATTTCTTTAAACTTTAATAATGATATTTAGGAAATAGATATCAATTCTGAGTGCATTGTTGTAGAATAATGCACGGTTTGAGTTCAAATGCGTAGTAATATAATCACGAAGGCCGATAGGCCTGAGTGATTAATAATTACAAAGCATTTGAACGAAAAACGTGCATTATGATACAATAATGCACGAAGAATTAATATCTATTTCCATTCTAACACGTCAAGAAAAAAATATAATTATTATTATAAAGTTGGACTTCATGTTTGATGGTTAAATTTGTTTTCGCCTCAGAGTTTTCAATAGAAACGTTCTTTAAAGGCTGTTCCAGTGGGTTGAAAAAAAAACTGTCGTGAAATCTACCGTGTGTAGAAACATTTTCAGAATAACGAATTTTGAAAACGTTGATAAAACTTTGTATGTTTATTTTATTTCATTCTATAATTTTTCAAGCGAAATACAAATTATTAAAGTGGAATAAATGTAAAACTTAACTCGTTTGCGACATTAAAATAGCGTACTTGATTTGATTGTTTGGCACGTGCTGTTTGGCGCTACATTGTGACGTCACGTAAACAACACTTTAAACGTCTGTATAGCGTTAACGACTGAATGAAAGATATTGGTGTTCGGATTCATTTTCTTAGTTAGACCATTTTCTTTCATTCTAGATAGTTTTCACAACAAAATTCGACAAAAAATGTTTTTATTTATCAGATTTTTCAAAAAAATGGCGCCCTCAATGTGAAAATACACAGGAAGATAATAAGAACGGCGAGTACATTGTTGTAGAATAATGCACGCTTCGGGCCTTCCTTGTTTATATAGAAAAAAATCCGATAGTGTTAGAATAAGAAATATATAACTGTAGCAGAAATGAACCAATATGGATATATGTGGATTAAATTAAGTCAAGAACTATTTTCTTTTAATGAAGATGTATCTATATGTCACTTGTATATACCTCCCGTAAATTCTAAGGTAATTAAACAGGAGGAATTTGATTTTTTTTTTTGAAAATTTAGAAAATGATATTTTGAAATATAACGAATTAGGCAAAATATACGTAACTGGCGATTTTAATAGTCGCACCGCCGATTTGCCTGACTATTTTCTATTTGATAAATACTTAGACGAAAACTACCATTTTGTTAACTGAATAAACATACCCGAACGAGTTAACAGAGACCACGTGATTGATACGCACGGGCCTCGTCTGCTGGATTTGTGTATATCAACCGGTTTGTCGATAGCAAACGGTAGGGTGTCACATGACCGCGATACGGGCGATCACACTTACTGTTCACATCAAGGGCAAAGTACTGTAGACTACTTACAATTAAACCGTCATGATTTCGACTCATTACTGAGTTTCGAAATTCTCGATTTCAACTCATTTTCGGACCACGCGCCTTTAACGTTTAGTTTGCATAGAAAGAATTTATACAAAAACTATCAGTCAGTACCTTCCGTTAATAATACATCTATACAAAGAATTGTATGGGATCAAAATAAAGTCAGTCTTTTTACAGAAAATATAAATAATAAAAGAAATACGTTTTTGCAATTATCAAACGCTTTAAATATAGAATCAATAGATGTTGTTGTTGAAAACTTTTCATCGGAACTTTTAAAATCTGCGTCTGATGTATTCAGACAACAAACAAACGTAGAAAAAATTAATACTCGCCAAAACAAAAATAAATGGTTTGACTATGATTGTTTACGCGAAAAAAAGCAGTTCAATAGCGTCCGAAATAATTTCTTGCGTAACAGAGATAATGATGATATCAGACGGAACTTTGTGCACGCGCGAACAAAATATAATAAAGTTAAAAAAAATCGCGAAACGGAAATTCAAAATTAACGAGGGCAAAAGACTAGAAATTTCTGGAAAACCCTGAAAAAAAATAAATAAGAATGTCATAGACAACCCAGAATCTCTTAATATTAATGACCTACGTGATCATTTTAAAACACATTTTGGGGAAACCAGCTCAAACGATATAAGTGGTAATGTCTTCGTCGGTTCCGAAATTCCGGAAACTGATATAGATTTTACAGAAACAGAGTTACGGACTCCCAGTTTTTTGCAGAAAAATAATAAATCGCCAGGCAGTGATCAGATTACTAGCGAAATGCTAAAAACCTCATATGATATTATTTCCCCCTTTTTATTAAACCTGTATAACAAATTATTTAATACAGGGGAATATCCAGTAAGTTGGGGTGAAGGAATAATCGCCCCCATATTTAAAAAAGGAGATGTAAATAAAGCTGAGAGTTATCGTGGCATTACTCTTATTAATACATTAGCAAAAACCTATTCACAATTACTTTTGAATAGGTTAACTTCCTGGTCAAACAAATATGAGAAATTTCTAAAAACCAATTTGGCTTTCAAAAGGGTAAATCGATAACTGTTTGTATATTTATTCACCATTCTATTATTCTTAAGGTACTTAATTCTGGGAAAAAGTTATATTGCGCCTTTATAGATTACCAACAATGCTTTGATAAAATAGATAGATATCTTTTATATGAAAAACTTGTTGCTGCAAATCTCAGTTCCAAATGTGTTCGAGCTATCAAATCGATGTGTACTGTAGTAAAATCTTGTGTAAAGTTTAAAAATACATATTCCGATTTCTTCAATTGTGATATCGGTCTCAAGCAGGGAGACCCGAGCTCGCCTCTGCTGTTCATGCTCTTCGTTAGTGATATAATACAAAACATAAACACTGACATAGATGATATATTTAGTCTAAATGAACAAAAAGTATTTCTCATTCTATATGCAGATGATCAAGTGCTGTTTGCAATGTCCCCTGAAAGTTTACAGTCAATGTTAAATGACGTCGTTGTTTATTGTAATACTTGGGGTTTGAAAATAAATACGTCAAAACCAAGGTCATGATCTTTGAAAAGGGAAGAACCACACATTTTTCTTTTTATATTAATGACACACAACTTGAAATAGTAGACTCTTTTAAGTACTAAGGAATTACTCTTTTTAAAAATGGCAATTGGTCGAGGACACAAAAATGTATTGCTCAGCACGCATCGTTTGCATTATTTAATTTGTTTCATTTGTTTAATAACGCAGAATTTACTTTTTCAAATAAATTTTACTTATTTGACACGTTGGTTGGTTCAGTTCTTAACTTTGGA